GTTGGAGGTTGCTGTGAGCTGTGATGCCATGGCACTCTACCCAGGGGGATAGCTTGAGGCTCCGTCTCAAAAAAAAAAAAGAAAGAAAGAAAGAAAAGAAAATACCTTCTATTCCAACTTGTTTTATAAATCTCAGGCTTGTCATTCCTAGGTAGGTAAAATCAAATGAAAATAAACATAATTTTGTCTTCCAGATTACAAAGAGGAAAAAAGCCAATGTATTTATGGCCAGAAATAAAAACTGGAAGAAAAACTACTATAGTGGTTTAGTAAATCTCCACGTAGTTGGTTATTTAAAAATATTTTAGTATATATCTCTGGGTGGTAGATGATTTTTATATTTTTCTTTAAATCATTCAATATTTTGTACATTTTTTATAATGAGCATTCATCTCAACAGTATTATGTAAGCCAGAAATCTAGGAGTCACCTGATACTTCCCTCTCATCTCCAAGAAATCACCAGTCCTGTAGGTTTTACCTGCTAAATACACATATGTACCTTTCAAATCCATCTATTTTTCCTTATCCCCACCACGATCCTCCCAATTCAAGCTACCTAGATTGCTAGAATTGCCTCTTTTTATTTATATATGTATATAAATTTTTTTTTTTTTTTGCAGTTTTTGGCCTGGGCCAGGTTTGAACCCATCACCTCTGGTATATGGGGCTGGTGCCCTACTCCTTTGAGCCACAGGCGTCACCCTATTTATACTTGTTTTTAGAGATGAGCTCTCACTAAGTTGCCCATTCTGGACTTGAAATCCTGAGCTGAAGTGATCCTCATGAACCCACCACCTCCAGTATATGGGGCCGGCGCCCTCCTCCTTGAGCCACAGGCATGGCCAGCAATGACCATTTCTAAACACAAATCTTAATATGTTCTCTCCCTATATCCACTTACTCACACTTTTACCCTTAGGATAAAATAAAAAATCATTACTTTAGCATACCCACAAAGTCCTCCATGTCCTGGGCTTTCTTATCTTTTCCCCATCACCGGAAACCCTGGTTCTTCTTTCTGTCCCTCCACCCTGGCCACTGGCCACATGGTCTTTACACACAGTTATTCCTTTTGTCTATAATGTTCCTTCCCCACTGTTCAGCTGGTGAATTCCTACTTACCCCTAAGATCACAGTTTAAGCATCTCTTTTTCAGGAAGATCTTTCCTTCCCTAATCTCTCCAGGTAAGCTATACCCCCTATTGTAGTCTCCTAGAAATAAGCACTTTTCCTTGGCAAGCCTTGTCGGAAATGAAATTTTACATAGAAATAAATCTGTAAACCCTCTATTTCAGAAGATTTTTTGGACAGCTTTCTACATTAGAAATTAAACAACCGGCTCGGCGCCTATAGCTCAACCGGC